CGATTTTCTAGATTGTTGGAAATTCGATTTTCTATAAACTGGAAAATCCCCACGGAATTCCCATATGTACTCTTTGAAATTCGCCGAGCATTTTCCATAAATAATTTCCAACCTTACGGTGTACCAAAACTAGCAAGCTCAGAGCTTGAGGAAATATAGGATAATGTGTGCACAATAGTTCACTATCCTATCAGATACACCGAAAGTTGCATTAAAATCAATAATGACACTCAACCATTAATAATTATACATTGTAAAGAAAACTCGTCTCAGAATCTAGAAAACATTGATAATAAAATTAAGTAAAGAGTTAAAGCACTTAGTCGACCTACAAAAGCCATAATAATAAAGTTACTATTGTTTTGGTCAATATTGTATCCAAAGTATTAAGATTAATATTATATTTTGATCTAAAGTAACATCTTCAGCTCTTCTTGTCGCATTCGTCATAGCCTCTTTAACTTCTTGCTGCTGACATCCTTTATGAATATTATCTTCTCCATAATAAACCTGTATTATTATCACATACATCTGCATGTGAACTTATATCAAATTTGAAACATAATGCAATATATACTGTTTGATTTGGATTAGTAAACCAATACTTGTACAATGGATCCATTATTAAATTCAGTAAGTCATCTGATGTATTATATGCTGTTTGTCTATTTAATATTGGTGTATCATGATTTAATATAAAACAACCTTCTTCTGGATTCTGTACACGTGATGTTGCACTACTTGTACTATTACAAAATGAAGGCAATTGAAAATTGAAATCAGTTTTTAACCATTCATGACCTTCTTTTAACATAATTGACGGCCATTCACGCAGATCATTATAGAAGATCATTCGCAAACGGCATGCAGTTTTAAGGAGAGATCAAAGATTTCGTTATTTTCCTTATCATATTGATGTTAAAAGGAAAAAAGGAAATATGTCTGTGCGAATCGTACATCTTTGTATGAATGATTGTTAGCTATGAATTTGATAACTAATTCCACTTATTGATGTAAAAACGGTTAAAGGTAGTACTATTGCTATACAAAAGCAAAACAACAAAGTTCTATTGAAGAACCACATTTGGATAAATTTTAATTGAAAAATCTACAATAAAGTCAAGAGCGCTAAAATGTACCGATGCGATAGGTTAGTAGAAAATGCTTTGTTGCCCAAAAGGTTATCTGCGCTTATAAAGAGATCCTTTATTTATTTTGTAAATGTCTTGAGACAATCTTCACAAGAGAAATCCATCGACTGATAATATATAATAGAATAATTCTTTGAATTCGATATCTGTATTTGGGTTTTGTCTTTATATGCTGTGAGATATACATGCACGGATGACCCAAACAAAAGACTGAATCTCTGCTCCTTCATTATATGAAATTGCCATTCATCGATGTTCCAGTGCAGAATATTGTGCTGCAGTGTAAAAGACTCCCGTTTTCATACAGCTTGCTTTATGTTCTGAAAAATTAAAAATTTTTGCTTTTTATTGCGAAAATTTAAGAAAAACCACTTGTAAATAAGGGAGATAGAATCTGTTCCTCTCAGTTTGCTAGTTATAGTTGTTTTTGTATACTTTTACAAACCATAGTCTGATGTAGTGTGATAACTCTATTGCAACTAAGCGTTTTGATGAGTAAAAGAAAAAAGATTTGGTATATGCAAAAATCATGTAGTCCTGCCGTATGGATATCTTTTAAATGTGTGAATAAATCTTGTAAGAAACCACATGTTAACGATTATCAAATTTTTTCTTTGCAATAAATAAAAAAACTTTTTTCTACATGGCGACAAGGAACAAGGACGCAGATATCCGTAATGCCTAGCAAGTTGCTGGTTGTTTAATCTTTTAATGTTTTTGACTCTGTATTATAATTTAATTCTTATTACTTTGGGTTCACTTTCTCATACTCTACGTCTAGAAGATGATAGAAAAAACAGGAGACTCCTAAAACACCCGCGCGTCTCGAACAACTTTTGATGGAGTAGTTAAATTTTTGAAAATTATCAAAAACTGATTTTTCCAATTTTTGAAAAAGTTCGAACACTAATTCTTGCCAAACAGGCCTCTTTAACAAAGCATTTTGGAAAGAGAATGTCAACGGAAAAGTTATTGATAATCTCAGGTGCAAGGGCTTTCGAAAATTGACATTTATGATCAAAAATCGTCAGTTTTCTACGTTAAGAAGTAACGTTATTGAGAATAAGTATCGTATTCATAATCACCGTCAAAAACTGAATCAAATGATTTGTTGTCATTAAAAATCAGTTTTTTTCCTAAAAATTGACTCTTTGAGTCCATTAAAAGTATTTTTATCCGATCAAGGAAAAATATGGAGTAAAAAGAGGATTTTCTGAACGACACATCATTTTATTCAGTTTCATTGTAGATCACCAACATCATATTTATTTTAAGTAAAATTACTTTACGAATTACCGAACGAATTACCGATCACAAGTAACCATTTTTCAAACAATATTACAATAGAGATCATCGGTGAATGTACAAGTTTGGAACGACATACCATAACGAAAACATATAATTTTTAAACATATGCCGTCTGGTAGAGAAAAGTGTAATAAATAATTTTTCCATTGACACTTTCCAAAATACTTGAGTGAAGAGATGTGTTTGATAAAAGTACCTTTTGACACCTATTGAAAAGAGCTTGGCAAATATAGTTTTCATACTTTTCAAAATTTAACTACTCACTAAAACACGTTCCATGCACCTGCTATTGCAACGATATATGCTAACAGCTGTTCTCTACAAAATATGAAAACTTGAAAATATTATAGATGACATCTTCTACACTCTAAAAAAAGCGTTTTCTCGGAAACTCTTTTGAGTTGAGGAGAGGGAAGAGGTGAGGTTGAAAGTGAGCTCGAAAAGTAATTGCACGATAGACTAATTTCGTAAGATACCGCTGCGAATTCATTTTTCTGAAACTTTTTTGTTTTGCTAGATATCCTAGGTATTTAGGGTATTTTAGGTATTTTACAGAATTCGGCTATCGTGCAATTACTTTTCGAGTTCGCTTTCAACCTCACCTCTCACCACCCCCACCCTCTACCGCATACTAATAACCTTGTACATGTGCTTGATACATATATATAGAATATAATTCGCTACGAACTCAAAATGTTGACTACCATATTTGAGTTCGCAACGAACTGATATTATGCATAGTATTCTTTTGTTATTGCAACTGGATCAAACGTTATCAAGTAGCATATATAATAGCGAATAAACCGCGATCTCGATGCAACAATAGCAAATGAAAAGAATCGATCAACGATAATTGCGACTTCATAGCGATCTGAGATGGACAACTAAAACTCCACAGTTAAGTTTCCTTTTAGTAGAGTTGGAGTTGAGTTGAAGTTGCGTTTTTATTAAATTAGAGTTGAGTTGAATTAAGATTTTTTCAACTCCAACTCCACAACTCCAGTTAAAAATTTGCATTTCACTACTTTCTGCAGTGATCACATTAGAGTTGATCGAAACAAGTCTCTTGTTTTCCTTTCCCATGTCTATTTCTTTTGTATTATTCTTTTATCATCTGTTCTCTCTCTTCTACAGAATTATCTATTCTGTGTGAATCGACGTTACAGAAGAATGATCTGGAAGAAATACCCAGAAAAGGAAACGAAATCTTATGTCGACGCACTGGATTATTCTTCCTCTCTTAATCATACCGTGTGTTGTTATAACCGCAGATATCTCTGTAAAATTAGAAAATACTTCAAATGGCAAAATGTAGTTTGTCTAATTGAGAGTTGGAGTTGAACTTAGGCGGAGTTGCCCATCTCTGATAGCTATCGTGTAGCGCGTTCGCGCAACGACTTTTTAGAGCGAATCGTGCCGCGAATACAGCATGACAGTCGACTTGGGTTACCTTTATATCGATCAGTTATCGCTGCATCATCAATAAAAACATGAACATGTAGTCACACCAAAATATCATTAACGTTTCAGGATAATGGATCAGAGAGGTCATGTCATCTAGAACGAAAAGCAAAGGTGCAACTCAGTTGCACGTGAAATGTTCCAAAAATGAGATGATATGTGGACGTGAGTTTTCCACTTAGAGAGTTCCAGTTAATTTGAGCATAGATAAGAAAGACTAATCCGCCTGAATACAATCAAAAATGCAAAAAAACTGATCAAAGTAGTAGCGCTGTCTGCAAAGCCTTCGATTCAGATAACTCATGTGGTAGGCAATATTCGCGCATCTATCCATTGCATTCCATATACACTAGTCGAGAGTCAGAAAAATTTCACTCCTGATTAGGTATACGAAATCAGAAAGTCAGTATATTCGCCTATCAGCTTTCGCTATTATTCCATAATGTCAGCAGTTCGTTAGTTAGCTAACGAAAAAACTTTTTATCTTTGCTATATACTCCAGTCCGCTCTCATGTTAGAAAGCCTTAGGCAACAAGAACTTACTGCGCACTCGAGATATCGAAGCAAAATGCCGCATTGCATTCTGCTCTGGAAAACAAAACTGAGTAAAACCGAATGCAACCTCTATACTGGAGGATCAGTTGAAGTTAAGTGAAGAGAAGAAGGTTGATCACAAAACAACATCGGATTCTTGAACAATCCTAGATATTCTGACGATCTGCTTTTTGTGATGCAACTGAACTTTGCTTCGTGTATAAGGGGCACTGATTTTTTTTTGTATATTTCATTTAAACTGAGAATAATAAAAGCACATATCTTCAATCACACACGTGTCTGTGGACACATAGCATACTATTTATGTTAGAAACAGAATGTCGACTATCTATTTGTGTATACCAAATATAAATTCTCACTTTGAAATAAGAGAAAAAGAATTCTTTTGCATTCTTGCAATTCAAAGAAATGACTAACTGTGTCTGAACTGAAAAAACTGAAGTACTTTCGCTTTACTACTGAATTTGTGAGCCGAATCGTATTTTCTGTGGTATTTTTTAAAGAACATCGCAGAAACTTGGTTGACATCTCATTTTGCTGAGAACTAACAGGGCTATCGGTGTAGTGAGTATTTAATGAAGTACTTAAAAAAAATTCCGGAATGAACTTCACAGTCTTTTGCATTCTAAAATTTTCTGCATCTCATCTAACATTCAAAGATCGAGGGACAATTTCACTTTTTTAGCAAGAAACGAATGCTTTTGTGTTAGTCCATAGTAATATACTGTATATGTGAATTATTCACTGGGCTCATCACCACGACTGATCAGGTGATGTGGAATCTAAGTTGAATAAAAGAGAAAAAAACAAATTGGCCTGCTATGAAACGCGTGGCATTTTTCTTAGTTTAAGACTTTAAAGAAAAAAAGTATGCAAGAACGCATACAGAGCCGACATCATATCTCTTTTCTAATTGTACATTTACATCATACCGATTTTTAACACGAGAAGTAAGTACAATAAGTCAATGGTGAACCTGTCAGGAGTACAAGCGATGATCTATGTTTAGACTTCTTTCCCCAACAATGATTAAAACTTTTCTATTGCTCTTGTTATTTGGTTTATTTGCTTGTTATTCGTCGAGTAAAACGCAACAGAAACTAACACTGGCAAGCCTATCCCGCCTGAAGTGAAACGACGAGCAACGTACCCCGAGTTGTCGTCATGCCGTCACCAACGTATAGGAAAGGCTAAAGTGGAAGTTCCATACAATCAAAGCAATGTGAAAGTAGTTGAAGGTGATATCATGGTGTTGAAGAAAGAATTAAGAAATGCTGTTTTATCAGCGAAAAAATGGGTAAATGGCATTGTACCTATTCAAATTACTCCAAACTCGTTTACGCCTGATCAAGTGCAATACATGTACAATATGATGCAT